GTACTGCAGGAGTAGTTGGGCCGATAGCCCTTCAGGACATTTAAGGTTTACCTTTTAGACTAGGGAGCAGGACATCATGAGTTTTCTTTCAGGAATTCCACTGCAGCCACAGTCAAGCCGAGGAAAACAAGAGGTATAATTAGTTGACTAACTAGGGAGCTGGGCAACAAAGAAAAAAAAAACTAAATAAACAGCTCTTCCATTCTTAAGTGCTTATACCTCAAAGTTCAAGGCCTAGGAAATTAAAACACAAGAACATTACTGCATGATCAGGCAACTATGACTTTATAGGAATAATTGAAACATAGCTTGGAGAGGAGCTCCCCAAATTGTTTGTCATCTGGAAAAAAAAACTGAACAATAATGCAGATATCTTAGCAGACCTGAACAATTAAGTGAAATGCCATTTTTAATTTTAAAAGAAAAATGTCTTAACTAAAAAAAAAAAATCTTTCACTTCAGGAAGGCACAAACTGGTATCTTTCAATTGGGAGACACTTTCAGAAGTGTGAAAGAAAATAATCATACAGTAAAAAGGAGAAAAACAAAGAAATTGAGTTTATTCTACCCATTTGATCATTGATCTGGGTGTTTCGTGAAGGAAGCCAGGGTGGCAGTTTGAACAACATGGTGGACAGATGGATAACCACTTCTTGTGGTATGCGTTTCACTTTATTCTGAGGCCAGTAGCGTTACCTTTGAAAATTCTTTGTTCAGCATTAAAACATTCTTTAAGCCCTTCAGTAACGAAAATTCTTCTAAAATGGGGAACATCTAGTTGATCTCAAATCGGGACCAATTCCAGATCAGTAAGTTGTACACATTATTCAAATTAGGTTCTACCAGTACAGTGGCTAGCAATGCTGCCTCATTGCCCTGGGTCAAATTCCATTACTAGGGTGCTATCTGTGGAGAGTTTGCATGTTCACCCATGCTCATGTGGTTTCCCCCAGGTGATCTGGTTGGTTTTCTCCCCCACCCCTCACAGTCTAAAGACCTGGGCAAGAGTTGGAGATATACCAATCAGCCTTCTATGGTGTCTGGGGTATTGGATCTGGTGGGAGCTTGTTCATGTCTCTAGCTGCCCTTAAAACAGACTAGTGTCCCATCCTGGCTGTACCTCACCTTGTACCCATTGCTTGCTTGCCAAGCTAGGATGTATCCCCCCTTGTGATCAAGTGGATGAAATGCTTAGAAAACAGATGGATAGTACGTCAAGATTACAAACCAGAATAAGGTAATTTGACCCATCTCGCCCATTTGGGATTTAGTAGTTTATTGATCCAAGGAAGCTTTTTTTTTAATTTTTTTATAAGGTGCCAGGGTATTGACTTCAACAAGGAAGCTTGTGCCATACTCCCACAACCCTTTGGGTAAAGCAGTTCTTCCTTTTTCATCTCTGAATGCACTTCCATATAGTTTCAACTTGTGTCCTCTGGTGCACATTGCAGTGTTAAATCTGAAGTACACTCAGATTGCATCGTACAATTTTAACATAATTCACCAATTTAAGTTATAAGTTTTGAATGGCATTCTAAACAATTATTTCATAACTATACTTGCAATTGAAGTCTGTATTTACTTACTTCAGTTGTCTCACTCTTATGTACAGAAGATTACCAATTCTCTATTCCCTGGGTACTAACCCCATCTTGAATGATGGTTGGAAGAGTTGTCTCAGTTGCTTTTGAAGAACATTCTCTTGTTCTTCAAGTACAAGTGGCAAGATTCCCTTGGACCCTGAGGACACATTAATCTTGTCTTGCTACACTGTTGTCAAAGTAGACTTGCCTTTCCCGGGACTGTTAACCTATATGCGATATTAGCGGCCTTGTTCCCAAATATAGCGAGTAGTCCATGCTTTCACTATAGTTCAGGCTCAAGTAGAGAAGTTACAAAGTTGTCTTGCATAGTAATTGCATGTAAGAAGCACATCTCTTCTTACATGCAATTACTATGCAGTTGCATGTAGACTCCACACCTTTCATGGGCTCTTTAACGCCATGTGCTGCAAGGCCACCTTTCTGGCACAGTATACGATATGAGCATTCCTGCTATGCCAGAATAAGGCACAAGGAGCCATTAACATACACTAGGAAGCTGAGAAAGTTAAATTGCGTATTCTTTGCTTCAGGAGGATTCATCCATTATCTCTTACAGTTCTCCCTGGGTACCCATTTTTCCGTTCTGCTCAGCTTGCTAGACGATCAGGGTGGAAGCAGTTTAATCTAGCCAGGAAATCTGATGACAACTGACCATTGCAGAGGGACCTGAAAGTGGAGCCACCTGCACACAAACTATCATCCAGTATTTGCATAGCTTGGCTAATCCATCTAGCTAGTTATACGGCTTGCCATCAAGAACCAAGTATTAGTCATAAGCTCTAAACTAATCTCCGATAGGGAGGTGTGTTTGGTTGGTTCTTCATTTTGGCTGTATTGTCTCACTCAGCGAAACCTCTGCTCAACAGAGAGAGGTCTTCCAGTGCATCAAAGTAAAGCAGATGAACTTTGCACACTGGTCTCTACCTTGTGCGATACATAAATTCTCCATTTGGTATCCTAGTTGTCTTTTCCTTCACAGTAAAGCTCACAAAATTGGGATATTGATGCACGACATCTCCCATGCCACACCATTGACCACTGGCGCATGCCTACTTTATAGCTATGGAAGAGATTTTTAAAGGGTCTTCTTAGCCTTGGACTCAGTCTTAACCCACGCCTAAGAACAATCTGGATGGGCACTATTAATGTTAGGATAGTTGGCTAGGATCTACCATGTCCACAGACTTCCAGCGTGACCATGTACTCATAACATTGGAGCACTAGAATTCATTTATAAACCACAACCATTTCCAGAAAAAGAAGAAAAGAGCTACTTGTAATTTGTATGTAAAAAGGCAAGAACCACATCAAGTTGGATAAGATTTCTCATGTTGAAACTCAAAACTTCACAGCTTTTGTAAAATTCTACAATAAGGTTGTGTCAAACCAGTAGAGAAAATGCAGTTACTTCATTCACTAGTGATGAGCCTCTGATCTTTCACAAAGCCAAGAAAGCAGGTATCCCTTAAGGTATTGTCCTCACAGGTCCGAGATGACAAACTCGCCCATCACAGCCCGTTGTGAGAACCATTTGCAGAATTACTTCCATTTTACCTGCACTCTACTCAAAAGTGCTGCAATATGTTCCCCATCAGAGCAAATAACATCTGGATGTTTGCTCATGCCATCCAAAGTAGTCTGTAGACTACAAGTGGAGTACAAGTGATCCTGATCTAATCTGGATTCTCTCTCCCAGAGCCTCTTGCTCCCTAATGTCACAGATCAGGATCACACCTGATCTTCTGTGGACTACTCTCTCACATACTCGTGTTAGCCACAGTTTGCGTACTACACAAAGCTTAACAGGGTATCCAAACACCCACTCACACCCTCCATAGGGTGGCAGTACACCCTTAAGAGACAGGCCACAGGTTAGTAGCAAGACAGGATCATTTCCCCCATCACACACACGTGAGGACCCCTCTCCTTCCCATACTGACTGACCTTTATCACACAGAAATTCACCTCATACACAGATCTCAAATAGCCCTGTACCTTCTTAGCCCCCTAAAATGGCTGTCTTTTTAAAGCTCAAAACCTCTCTGGGACTTTTTCCTCTTACCCACTCCCATTCCAGGGAAGAGCTTTCTCATTCACATAAGCCAGATCCCCTACAGGATTACTACCAAAATTATCTTTTTGATAAGATTGAGTTATCTTTCACAGTCACACAAACTGAATCCCGATTATTAAATTGAACGACAATTAGCACCAGAATTGTTGCCATAAGTCACTGCAGCCTGCTTCACTTTAACACAAACACAGCTGCCAGCTTTCTGCTAAATCCGCAGCTGCTACACATACAGGCATCTCGTCTCACCGACTGCAAATCAGCTTATAGAGCTGCCTGCACTCACACAAAGACAGCAGCAACATCAAGCCCACTGCTGGCACAAAAACAAAAGCCAACCTGTTTCCCTTCTCTTCAGCCCCACCACTCTCTCTGCTGTGCCTCAGCATGAGAGAGACAAACACACCCAGATCTTCTGCCTCTCTCCTGAGCCAAGTCTATTGCTCACTACAGTGCATATTAAAAAAAGAGACAATCTTACCATCTCTCAGCCCTAAGGCTGGTCAGACCTAGCCAGCCTGCACTTATAGGACCGCCCACAGCTGTGTCTCATCAGAACAGATAGCTTTTACAGCTGCGGTTGCTTAGAAACACATGCTTCTCCCGAGAGAAGCTCCACCCCTCGGCATTCCCATGCTCCATGGCATTACACCATGTAAATATACACAGCTGGTGGTGATTGGGTCATTTGATTAGATTAGTGGTGAAGGACCCATCTTCACATGGGTGTGATTAGGCCTCGCATTTGGTATATGAAGGGAGTTCACTGTGTCAGTAGTAGTTTGGAATTTTTTGAGTGCTTTTCTTTTGTTGTAATTCCGAAATGCCCAATAGTAAATCCTCCAGCACTGACTTTTAACAGTCATCGTGTGTTTTTGTGTGTGCTGACCCCTAGGAGCACCCTCGTTGAGGGCAGTAGGATCTGTCTCAAAGGCATTAGGAATGAAAACCTAAGCTTTTCTATCCACTCTTAAGCAATGCAACAGTATAAAAGACAAAATATTTAAATAGATACCGTGTACATACAGTACTTAAAACAAGTTACAAGAACATCCGCAGTAATATTGCAAAAGTACTTTTTACATGCGCAGGTTATAACTTCATACTGCATAACATGTTTTGCCCTCGGAAGTGGCACGAAGGTGTGGTGTTTAGTACTACTGCCTCTAAGCTTCTAGGTCCTGGATGTGAAGCAGTATCTTCTGGGGGGGACTTCCATGATATACCCATATTTTCAGGGATGATCCAGTTTCCTGTTTGCAATTTTTTCCATTCCATCTATGATAGATCACCTTAGAAAAGAAGACAGCTGCAACTCTGACTGCTCAGGTAGTAGGACATTTATTTTTCTCAACAGGTGATATAGTTGAACATACATATGAGAGCCGTGATTGATGCACTGCATCTGGAATAGGGGACAAGTGCTAGTTAAAAAGGTCTGCCACTTCAAGGCAGACTAATGGCAGCCTCATCACGCAACAGCTAGGCAAGCATGTGAGGAAAAAGTTAGGTTCTTGGTAAGTTAAGTTCTTGCACGTGAATGTTTTTTAACGCATACCTTCACTTCTCCAGTGCTGGCACAGTGCCTAGGGCCTACTAAATTTTTAGGGCCTACGAAGGTGGGAAACACTAGTGAGCTGAAACAACATGCTTGCGATCGCCTCTAGGTGCTCCAAACCAATAATCATACGCTATCTAGCGGCTGTTCTGGAAACTAGAAGTACTGAAGTGATGGTCACTCAACTCGCTCCATCGATCACGTGGTTTAGCATTATTCCTGTCTCTCCTGAATGCTTTTGTCACAGGGTTACAAAAGTGAGGGGGGTTTTATTCCTCTTGTGTGTCTGATTGTTTTCTGCCTGTAGCACATACAGTATAGCAGGTGACAATCATAGGTTGAATCATACAGTAGATTGAATGGCAACCTTAGACACACCTCAACCGCCACACAGTCACATTAGATTAGGTGACACATTAGATGTGTGGGAGTGCTGAGCAGTCTGAGACTGGACCTGGAACAGAGCAACAGAGAGAAAAGTAGGATCTGGACTGATGGTGTACTGTGACATTTGGTCATCTGCTTTCAGCTGGTTCCTCAAGTATTTTAACCTAATTATTTATATCTACCTACCTCCCACCACTAATTCAAGTTCTGGAGTTCTGGTCAGGAAGAAAACATACTGTAAGCCTTAGATAGTAGATATGAGGCTCAGAGTGCTGTCTTCTCCTACCCTCTAGTTGTTGCAGTAGCATAGGGAGACTTAACACATGATGTGTATTATAAACAATGTTATAATATAAATTGAATAATACTAATGTTGTATAAGTTTTCCTAGAGCTGACATCTTTTCAGAGCCACTTGAGATAATTTACCCTTGAAATTAGACATTACAAATACACAAACTTACCTGCAAACAAATGGTCCTACAGCACTAAATGTTGTACGTCTTTAAGACAGTGGCAGTTTGATGTTTCAGAATAAAATGGGTTTCCTGGAAGCCTTGGTTTATGCAGGAAACCCATTTTGCTATGATGGCGCTTTTCCGATTAAATGTGTGCGCTAAAAAATGTGTATTATCAAAAAGTGGAAGTCAGTAAGTCCCACCTAACAAGTAGGTAGGTGATAGTCTGAGGGACACTGGATGGTCTACAGGTCATCACCTTCTGAGACCTTCTGAGAGGTCCTCATTACACAGCAAGAAGCGTTTGGCTGGAAAAAATCCTTAGGCAGTACAGTGGATGCCTGCCTTCCATGTGGAAATACAGTATATATATTTTAAATTTAGTACCAGGAACAATGTTGGTTTCTTGTTGAAAGTATTTCAAGTCACTGGCCATCCCATCCCAAATTTTGCTGAAGGTGTCTTAGTAATGCGAGCCATGGTTTGCGTTAAGGTTTTGAATTATGAAGAGCCGCAGCGGATGAATTTGATGTTTTGTCCGAAAGCTGCTCAGTTTCGGAAGGTGAGCAGCTGAGATGACTGAAGCCCTTCAGACAGGTACCGAAGATAGCAGCGTTGTGGTTAAAGAAAGCGCTACTTTATTCAAAAGGCTTTTCCAGCTGAAAGATTAAAACAGAAGTGGTTAAGGGTATCAGCACAACAACAGGTAAGGTATGCATACAGCTGTAGCCTGGCTAGTACTGTGGAACGTGAGGAAAGTATGCTGGAAAGGAAAAGTTTCAACCCCAGTATATGTATACTACACAGCATGTTAATAGTGGAAGCTGGTATTTCTACCACACATTTACGAACTCCATTTCGACTTCTTTTTACCTGTACAATCTGTGTATTTGTGTACTATTTGATAAAATCATTTGATCTTGAAATTGTGATCTAACATCATAAAATCAATTGTTAAAAGTTAAGGTAATCACTGGAAGGTGCAGGCAATTCAGAGAGGTTATATTATTATAGAGGTTATTAATGAATAATTAATTTCTTCTTTGTGGTCATATTTCACTGTGAAAGAGTACGACGAAACTGAGGTGAGTTGGGCTCCTGTGAACTATATGTACGTTTTATGGAGTGTGTGTGTGCATATTACTTTAGGCGGATTTTTTTTTTAAAACACAAAGGAAAAAGTTCATTTAAAAAAAAAAAGACAAATGTAGAAATCTGACCTTTAATGTTGAGCTTGCTTTGATTTTGAAGTAAAACCACCCCATGTAATAAATATCCATGTTTAAAAGTACATTTAGCGATAGCAATTAAAAAACAGAAACATGATTTAAAAATAGCTGTTCACAATCAATGTGCGCTAAAAGAAAAGAGAAATAAGACTGCGTATTTAAAATGACACACCAAAGACGTCTGGAAGATGAAGTCAAAGAAAACTAAAAGTGAGGCAGGGAAGGTCTGGTTCAGCCAAACAGTCCCTTGGCTTTCTTCTTCTTTGGTTTCACAGAAGTCCGCTGAGAGCCGGCGCTTTTCTCAGTCCCAGATACGGAGCCTAGGACTACAGTCTGTGGATGTAGGATATCAAACAGAAATGAATCAGTACATGTATTTAATAGCAGCCTCAAGGCATACTTACAATTATTTAGGATTCGACTGATTTGAAGTGAATGAGAGACTTTATTACAGATCTGATTTTTGAGGTCCTAAAATCCTGTACATTTTAAAAGTCCCTTTAAATCAATTTACTAAACACCTGGGGAAGAAGGTGATTTTATTATTACTTTCATCAATAGCACTGATGCTTTTCCTTTTACTACAGATGATTTACACGTTTTCGAGCACGGATTACTTACAATAATTTTAATATTGTCTGAAAGTGCAATAAAAAAAAGGAAAGAAATGTGGTCCTGGTACAGATTCCTGCGGTACTCCTCCAAATCTGTCACCCTAATTTAGGCATTCACCCCTTAGCTATGCTGTTTTCTATGTATTCCAAGTCTTTTCAAGTCTTTCCTGTAATAACAAGCCTTTTCAAGCCTTCTAAAAACCTAAAAACGCCATATTGTTTGCTCTGTGTGTGCTCATGACTGTTGTTTTTTTTCCACAAAAGCTAAAAAGAGAAGAAAGACTTAAATGTTCTTAATTCATAGTGCCTGTCTCTCAGGATCCTCTGTCCATGAAGGTGGTCCTGTATTTCGGATGCATGTTTCATGCAGTATCTTATAACATATTCGGAACCTTGCTCAGCTTTCACAGTTTGTTGTTTTAAAGCTTGCAGTCATGACACTTTGAAGTAGCAATTAATTGTGGTAAACACAACCTATTCCACACAGTCAAAGCAAAAGGCAAAAAGACATAAACAGACAATGTGAAAGAAAAATGGAAAAGTCATTACTGCATACCGTCAGTATTCAAACACTTATGTGCTTGTACGTTGTCACATAATCAATAATACTGATGTTTTGTACAATTATACGTCGACATTTACGTAAGTCAAAACACTTTAATAAGCTCTGTTCGCACAATATTAGACTATTGTAAAAGACAAAAATATACACTTAAAATGTATATTTGAAATGAAGTACACTGTACAGTACTTCAATAATAAAACTAATTCAAGAGTGCTGCAAAAAACTCTTCTTTAATTGCTAGTGTTGGCTTGCTTTTCATGTCTCTAGAACTCTTTTCAGACACAACTAAAAGTAACACTGCAAACACACAATTACTCCAGACAATGCACCTGTCGGACAAGATGTACACACGAGGCCATTGCAGAACAAGACTGAGGCCTCCTGCAGAATGTTGGATGGTGTAAATATTTATTGATGAATCAAGGCAAAGATGATACCTTATGTCTGCGCTATGTTTACAGTCAGTGAGCACACGGAAAGACAGCACTGACCAAACAAAGATCCAAGCCAAACAGGACCAGAAATTCTCTTGGATGGTAAACGATGATTTTGTATTGGCAGATGGAGACGATGCCGGTTAGTCGAGCATCCCAGTTAGTAAGAGGCCAGATAGTAAAGATTATAATGTACTTTTCCTAATCTGCTAAGTGATTTCCACCAGATTTTGAAATACTAGAATATTTTAGATATACAGTATTTTGCACTTGTATGACAAGTCTGTGTATCCCACCAGCCACCAGGAGCTCCTTTTATCTGGAAGAGTATGTGGTTACAGGAGAATTGCAGAGATCCTTTACAGAGCCAGTTGTGAGAGGATAAATAGCACAGCAGCAGGCAGTGGTGAAGTAACTATAACTGTAGCTGTGGCCCGTACTGGGGTACTGCTCGGATTTACAATGATATCCTAAGGCCAGGTGTGTACCTATGACAGTTTTCTATATTTTAGCTGTAAGTGTTTTTGAGTATTAGGCTGTATTTTCTTTTGTAAAAATAATATTTTTGCAAATATGGATAGCAGCCATATCACACTGCAACTCACAACTGGCAACCCACTGAAGCTAAGCAGTTGTGAGCAGGTGTAACCTGTACAATGTGATACAGGAAAAGATTAACAGTACTGATCCAACAACTCATATATTATGCTACAAGCATGCACAGTTGAATACATACAGCTTGTCACCAGTGGCTTATAGATGAATTACAATAAACCTACTTTATCACTGAACTACTGCAGCCATATCACCCTGCAACCCATAACTGGCAACCCACTGCAGGTGTGAGCCTGGTAAGTACCTGGATGGGAGACCTCCTGGGAAAAACTAAGGTTGCTGCTGGAAGAGGTGTTAGTGGGGCCAGCAGGGGGCGCTCACCCTGTGGTCTATGTGAGTCCTAATACACCAGTATAGTGACGGGGACACTATACTGTAAACAGGCGCTGTCCTTCGGATGAGACGTAAAACTGAGGTCCTGACTCTCTGTGGTCATTAAAAATCCCAGGGCGTTTCTCAAAAAGAGTAGGGGTGTAACCCCGGTGTCCTGGCCAAATTTCCCATTGGCCCTTACCAATCATGGTTTCCTAATAATCTCCATCTATGAACTGGCTTCATCACTCTCCTCTCCTCCCCACTGATAGCTGATGTGTGGTGAGCGTTCGGGCACACTATGGCTGCCGTCGCATCATCCAGGTGGGGGCTGCACATTGGTGGTGGTGGAGGGGAGTCCCCATTACCTGTAAAGAGCTTTGAGTGGAGTGTCCAGAAAAGCGCTATATACGTGTAAGCAATTATTATTATTTTTATTATATTTTGCTGTTTACGATTTATCTGCATCATCACTTCATTTCCAATTTTCTAGTTTACCCTAAAAGTGCCAATGTAACTCTAAACCAAGCATACCATATTTATAGCGATTAACTTTGAGATGGGGTAGATACCAGTGTGAAAGAGCAGGGGGTTACCTTTCTCCTCTTCCTTTGAAAAATGGTAAGGTTTCAAAATTGTACATTTTCTGACAGATTCATTAAAACAATGCTAAAAACGTAGAAGTCTGACAACTCACAAATATATGTGACCATATTTGTAGGTTTATACTCAGACTTCACAAATAAACATACCCTTATACAGTCTCACAAGTGGTAACTATTGAAGGAACATATTGTTTTCAGTAAATTATGTCTCAGGGGAGTCTGAGGTTTTCTTAATTTTAGAGGGAATAAGACTGTAGTTGCTAATCTTTTGTGTAAATATTCCTGTTTGCCAGAAGAGTGTTGAAATTCACACACACAGTGGTATATACCAAATGTTGCAGTTGGCAACCACTTTTTGAGTAAACACCTCACATAGAGATGAGCTTCAGATATTTTCTTTTCAATTTTTAGAACTATCACTGAATAAGTGTACAATACAATTGCTGGTGTTCTGTATTTCCTATACATGATTCAATTACTCAGAGACCGCTTCAGAGAACACGTCAGGGCTGTGAAGATTAAAGATCTCTCCAAGCCCATTGTTTCCCATTTTACCTCTGACGGCCATGACCACTCTAATCTCTCCATCTGTGTTCTCAAAGATGGTTTTCCGAACTCATACATCAGAAAGACTACAGAAACCAAAATGATCCTGAAGATAGGGTTACACTTTCCCCCTTCTCTTAACGACAGACTACTTTTCTTCTAAATTTTCTTCATTCCTTTCTCGAAAAGAGTAGGGGTGTTACCCCGGCGTCCTGGTCAAACTTCCCATTGGCCCTTACCAATCATGGCCTTCTAATAATCCTCCTCTATGAACTGGCTACATTACTCTGCTCTCCTCCCCACTGATAGCTGATGTGTGGTGAGCGTTCTGGCACACTATGGCTGCTGTCGCATCATCCAGGTGGGGCTGCACACTGGTGGTGGTGGAGGGGAGTCCCCATTACCTGTAAAGCGCTTTGAGTGGAGTGTCCAGAAAAGCACTATATAAGTGTAAGCAATTATTAATTATTATAATTATTCATTGGAGGTTTCATTTCACACCTCTCTACACCTATTCTGACTTCACACCTCTTGATTCGCCTCTCTTTCTTTCCCCTGCTTCCACCCCTCACTCCTCCTCCCTCCCAGCCTTTGTTCTCCCACTACATTACCTTTGCCTACTGCCTTGTCTCTCTCACACCTGAATAAGGCTCCCAGTAAAATGGGAAACAATGGGTTTGGAGAGATTTTTAATCTTCAAAATTAAAATTAAAAATTAAACCCACCTGAACTACTATAATCTATACTGCTCCATACTGTATGTCAACAATTACTGGTCACTTCTGCTTAACACAAACGTATACACTGGGCATTAACACAACAAAAACGTGTGTATGCATGGCAGTCAAAATAATAAATGCATACAAAAAGAGCTTCCTGCTTGTTTGACAAGTTTGTGGCTAATTGAAAGTCAAATGTAGCTCAGCTCTTTCTTAAGAGTACTCAAAGTAAGGACCTGAACCATCTGATTGGAACAGCCCTGAGTAAAGAAGTGTTTATACACTTCTCTTTAAAAACGTTTATGTAAGTCATTTATTGAAAGTGTTTTCACATACTGTCTCACTTGTTGGTTTGGCCACACTGGTACTGTCAGCTGTAATAGGTTGGGAAAATTAGTGGGAAAAAAAGGCCGAAAAATAATTTGGGCAAATCACATCAACTCAAATATCCTCGACACTGGGTTGTAAAGAAGGCCAAGAGTGTCATGAGGTGTGTGTCACCCCCTCCGTTGGGAATTAACACCCCTCCCGTCTGGGAAACGTGTCTGTCTTAAAAGGTGTAAATTGGTCAAACTCAGGAAATCTTTCATCTCCTCTGCAATATCACTCTCAAACAATGTAAAGTAACTTTCTTATCTCCTGCATCACCATTTTACCCTCTTCTCTGTTGGTAATGTTTGTCTTGCTTGTTTTTATTGGTGTACTGGACTGCAAAATAAACCCCCCCCCCCAGAGGATAATAAAGCTTGAATTGTATGCATTATAATTTAATTCCTTTTCAGTTTCCAGTTGTGACTATGTGTCTTTGTCCCTTAGGATCTTACAGTATAAATGCAAATCAAATCTCCTCTCAACCTCCTGTGATCTAAACTCCCTGATTTAGGTCCCTTATACCGTTGTTCCCAATCCTATAGTTGATTTTACTTTGTTCTCTGCCTGTTGCACAAAAAGATTCTAAAAGTCATCTCCTTCTATGAAAACTAGTTATATATACAGTATATTTCATCTGAATATCTCCCAAGCTTTACAGTACACTCTCATGTCTTCCTGAAAGACGTTTGGCAAAATATTTCTCATTTCTAATTAATTCATAAAGTACAGTGCATTTAAATATAAATTAGTGTACTTTAATAGCATACTTCAACACATTTTATGAAAAGTATTCATTTTATTTCTGAAATCTTTCTTAATAATATATTTGTTAATCCATCCTTTCATTTTTCTAAAGCGCTTATCCAATAGAGCGTAAGACAGGAAACACCCTGGGCGTCCCGCCAGTCCATACAAACAAAAACACACTCACACCAGAGCCAATTTCCCAAGAAGCCAATTAACTTCCCAGTATGTCTTCGGACTGTGGGAGGAAACCTGAGTAGAAACCCACACAAACACAGGGACAAACATATAAACTCCATGCAGATAGCACCCCAGGAACTGAACTCAGGGCCCCAGAGCTTCGAGGCAGAAAGGCTAACCACTGAGCCAGCTGGAATCCCTGGATATACAGTATAGTTTCCGGCCAGAGACATTTTCACCAGGTCTTCCAAAAGAATATCATGACTATATAAAATGCCAGAGATACAAGTAAGTCGAGTTCCAAGAACGACTTGTAGTAAGCTGAGATTGTTTCGTCCTTTTTTTCCCAGAGTGCTATCAGCTAACCAATCAAACTTATTTATGAAAATAAAAAAAGCAAAACAAATTCCCAAAGCTACTGTACGCTCAGTTTTAAGATTATGTCAAGATCTGTCAGTTTGTCTCACCCATTTATAATTCAAGGAATTGTGTAAACTAAGTAATGTCAAAACAGGACACAATAGCGTTACTGTTGTTTACGTTTTGCTGTCCCCTCAACAGTAGAAATGACATACTGAAAACAGGTGGATGTTTAGATGCATACAAACAATCTGGAGAATGAAGTGTCTTAATTGTGGGTGATTTGTGTCTAAGATAAGCCGGCTAAACTGGTACTTTTGCTGCTGATTCCTTCATTTACAGTATACGTGGGCCTTACTGATTGAAAGATATTTAGATATTTCTGCTTCTTATATTACCAGAACAGACATTTATTAGAATCTATTTGTTTAATCTTTCACTTTGATTGAGTCTGCCCTTTAACACAGGACACTTTCCACACTGTGATACTTTCTGGAAACTTATCAAAGATAATTCATGAGTGAGATTCCAGTAAAATACATTCTAAAACTAAAATATATTTTAAAAGACCTGGTGAAAATGTCTCTGGCAGGAAATGTTATGTCCAGGGAATCCTGCTGCCACACCTGAAGAAGGCTCCACGGCCGAAACGTTGTGTTGTCTTTCTTCTCTTCAGCATGGAATAAACCTATTACTTGTTCCTTATTAAATATATTGCTACGTATTGTAGATTTTTGGATAATGGGTAATTTCCCTCATGTCTCTGCTCACCTTTAACCCGGTTTAGGACAGAAATGGACACGGAAAAACTGAATTAGAAAATATTGACCTGTTCTTGCTGGAATCCATCAGTTACTCCCGAAGAAGCAACTTTCTCTGCTTTGTCTTGGGCGTTTTCTGCAGCAGAACACTTCTCATCGTGATGCAGAGTTTCCCCTGTGAGAGACAGTCCCAAAAGATATACGCACGTACATTAAAACCGGAGACAGGAATCTTGAATCTTAATAAATGCTAATTTCCCACCTGTTACTTCATGTTAAAAGCAAATTAAAAAAATGAATTCAAGTATGAGTGCTGTGCAACACTTGTTCCTTGTGACTCATCTGGAAGTGACCTGTGGATTTATCAGTTAGTTACTTGTGTGATGAGAGTAGTAGAAACCTTGCAATCAAATTTAGGATCTAAAATAAACGATAATAAGTGGCACATTTAGAGGAGTAACCTCGCTTTACTAAATTAAAATAAAATTGTCTAATCGTTCACACCTGTAGAGAATCAGCCCTGGAAATTCACTTTGCTGCGGAAATTCTGTGGTGTAATAAGACATGCATTATGTTCTTACATAAAGTATGATTAATGAATTAATTAGCCGAAGTGTATGTTTGGTAATTTTCTTATCTGTTCGAGACCATTATAAAGTATTTTCCCCAAATCAAAGGACTTTTTCAATCCTCTTTCAGAATGGTCCAACTAGAAATCATGACAGCAAGGGGAAAATCACAGATCAACATGCCATAAAACTGATATTCTGCTGCCGGGGTGAAGCAGAATTCTATTGAAACGCACCCGAGTTTGTGGGACTGTTTTGCGAATGGCTGTCAGATCTGTTGCGCTTGTGACCTGCCCCACAGGCAGCTACAGCTGTGCAGAGCTTCTGGATGTCCTGGTTGAACCCATAGCAGTTCTGCATTGTGGAGACTTCCGACAGCCTCTGAGACAGAAGAAAAACAACAGGTTTGATTAATCATAAAAGGGTTCTAAGTCCGATGGCAGAGAGGCACACCGTGTACTCGAGAGAATTATGCATTTAAACTCTGAAACTGTACATCACCACGCCCTTGGTCTACAATTTACAAAGACAATAAAAAATACAGTACATTTGATTTCAAGCCCTTTTCAATGTATGTAAAACAAACTACATGCTACATACAAACTAGAAATATGTATTTCACAGGTCTCCCAGGAACAAAGCTTTAGTTTGTGATCTCACCTTCAGTTCTCATGATCTACTCAATCTCTTTCAACAAAGCAACCAGAAACTCCTTCATCGGACTTGTCCGACGTAGTTGTTGTTTCAACAGTAAACTCACATTTATCTCCATAATGTAGTGCTTTATAGACTTTGGCCTGTTTTCCTCCTGTGCAATGTTCTTTTGTTAAACTTTCTCATTCAGAAAGGAAATCAAACGTCCTTAAGAGAGCGAGAGTTAAGTTCCTAGTCTGACCTTTTGGAAGGCTTTTATAGTATGGCAGTAAAGTCAGCACTTTGCCAATGCGGGTTTATCAAACCAATATGATTATGTGAAATGTTGATGGGTACAATGACCTGTCCAATGTAAAAAATAGAACTACACAAGGTTGAAAGTGGTCTGCCAAAGTCCATAGTAATGCACATCCTAGAATCTAACACTCCTGCATTATCCTACATTATCCTCTTTCTCAGTTCAGTTTCATCAGCATTTAATAATGCTTATCTATTATATGCAACTGTAACAAACGCTTATACGTTTTTATTGTATAACATATTTATTAGTATATTTGCATACACAGTCAGTAAAGGTAAGGCCTTTCAATTGTGTGCGATAGTATACGTCTGAATGAGTAGCTTCACATGGCCTGGTTCATGTATCCTTGTTTATTACATAAAGCATTAAGCCTTACACACCGCTCTGGAGAAATGTAACCCCTGTAGGACAACACGCTATAATATACCTTTGCTGATCAGATGTGAGACGATATATTCTGAAAATTCAGAGCAGGACTGTGAACCAAAGCAAAATCAGGATTTTTATGACAGCTCTTTTTCGATATGTGAAGTGGCACTTCAAGAACATGGAAAGCAAGTAGGTCAGGCGATTGAGCACAGAGCTTTAATTTATCAATATAAATGAAATGATTCATATCTGTTTTGAAAGAATGTCCTCTGCATCTTGTCTACTGTGTGAGGAAGTTCCATAGCAGAAATTACTAGAAAAGGTTTTTAAACATTTTTCATATATAAAAACATAGAAATCTGATTATTCGTATAGTCACATTTACCACTTATTTTCAAAGGGCAGGCCTTTGCTGTCGTATAAGTACACAAGCATGATTTTGTAGGAATTGTGAAGTAAATCAAGCACACTCCTTTCATGTGTATAATTATTCATTTATTGTGGTTTCAAAGCCCAACTACATGGGGACTAGATGATAGATCTGCCACTGGAAACTTGTGTCTAAAAAAACGTCACATCCTGAGAAATGTATTCTGGGAATAAACATGTGAAGCAAAAAGAACTGTTACAAGGTAGGGAGAGCGGTTAAATAAAATAAAATGTACCTGAGTGGAAGTCAAAATGTGAGGCATATGAGTTATTAATATTTTCTGACATAGCTCTGGTGAAAGAGTAATCAATCATAGTTAAACGGGAACAGACAAACAACTAAATAGTAACAATGCAATAACACAACTAAACAACACAAAGCGTTCTACAGTATACACTAGTTACACAATACAGTATATACATATCAATCAATTTCAGAGACCTACGTCCTACAGACCTCGAAACCCTGTATTATAGCCCTGTAACCTAAACACAGTGTGGTTCTAAAGCTAAAAAGTGAAACTCTACATCCTCATAAAAGAATATATCACAGAATTACATTTCCCTTCCTGCAACATGGACTTCAAAAGGTGCTAGCATTTTCTTGTAAAACACTTTACAAAAG